TATCATTATTTATTTACAATAATTAATTATTCTATCAATTTTTTATTTTTTATTTTTTATTAAAGATAATATAAATAACACATAAATTGTCCATAAATTATTAACTTGAAAAAAATCAAAAAAATAAAAGTTATTTTGAGAAGAAAAATTAAAGATAAATAAATCAAAAATATTTTTTATTAACCCTTCGTTATTTGGATTGGATATTGACTTATTTAAAATAGAATCACGTCGAACCTAAAAGAGAAAATTCTTCTAGTACATATTTCTCTATTCATAAGACTTAAACTCCAAAATTTTATTCAAGGGGAATCAAATTATTTTCTCTCGAATCAATAAGTCATTAATATAAATTAGATTAGTATTTATTTATCTTATTTTTTAAAAATTAAAAAAATTATTTTAATACTACTTATTTTAATAAAATCTTATAAAAATATAACAAATAATCTATTTCATTTTAAAAAATAATATTTTAATTTTTAAATAAAAATTTATTAAAATAATATGATTTATAAGAATTTGGTTAAATACCTTTTTTGACCCTCTACTATTGAAAAAAGCTCTCTTTTAGTCCCTATACTGGAAAAATTCCCTTTTTAGTCTCTGATGACTGAAATCCGATCCCTTTTTGATCTCTCTGTTAAAGTTTTTGACAGGGGATAGTTAATTAACGAAATTGTGTGATGTGAAAAATCCACTTTATAAAAAAAATGATGTGAATATATTTTTGAATCCATATCATCATTTCATATAAAAAGATTAGTTTTTTTTTGGTAAAAATAAACTTTTATTTCTTAATCTTTGAATTACAACAAATTAACTTTAATTATTTATTAACCAACTTTAATTACTCATTTAAGTCTCATTAGATTAAATCATTTATGTTTAATTGGATTTAGAAAAAAAAAAAAAAAAAGAAACAATTTCTTCTCTTGTCTATTCTTTGAAAAGTCATCTTCAAATTTACAAATTCTCAATTATTAAAAAGTCATCTATAGTGGGTTCAACCCTAGATTTCTTATTGCATGTTCAAATTAAAACACATAATTTTTTTGAAATCACTAATATAATTTCTGCTACAAATTACCACTTAATTTTCTCATATTTTCCCTAACTTTCTAAGAAACCAAACAACAAAACCACTTCCAATCAAGAAAATATGGACGGTGATGGATGTGGCATCACAATACATGTTTGATTAGCATCTAAACAAGTAGGAAAACAAAACCACTTTCTTTTAATAGAAAATTTTGGGTTTTGGTTAGGGATTACATGGAAGTGTGCGGTAAGAACCAGATTTGGGTTCCTCACTCAAGGCTCACACAACAGCATGAACCTAGATTTGGGTTCTTCACTCAAGGCTCGCGTGACAATGATGAACCCAAATCTAGTTTGGATGGAGGAAGAAAGGAAGAGAGAAGAGAGGAGAAGAGAAGCAAATGAGGAAAAGACCCTAGAAGGGTATCCATGGTCTGGTAAAGATTTTGTTGAAGTTGGTCACCATTTGGTCCATGAATGGGTTGGCGGTGCGATGGTAGGAGTTGCTAGTGGTGTAAGATTTTGGAAACTAAGGGTTGAGGAGGGAAGAATGAGCCATTGGATTTGGGTTTTTTAAATTGCATTTGGATCTAAAAGAAAGAAGGGGAAGAGAGGAAACCAGAACTAGGTAGGGAAACCAGATCTGGGTAGGATTTCCCTTATTTTTTCTTGGGTTCATGGTGAGATACTTTATTGGGGGAGTCATTGCTAATTTAGCAAGAAAAAGACTCAAGTTCTGTTTGGCGTGGTTG